TCCAGGGCTATCCTAGGTTTTGTCAACAAGCAGCAGGCCCATGACTTGTTGATCAACAAGCCAGACGGGACCTTCCTCCTCCGGTTCAGCGACTCCGAGATTGGGGGCATCACGATCGCCTGGAAGTTCGATAACGGTGAGTTCCTTTCCAAGTCAGAAGAGTTAACACCTTGCCCTTGACTGCTGCTTATGTGTTAGATTGGGACCTTTCCAGAAACTATTTTGAGCGTGCAGTCGACCAAACGGTAGTACAGTTGTCGCCCAGGAGCCAAGTGTTTTTCCTCAAAGGAGGCATCATTGTTACTTGGTAGTCATAAGGGATCAAAACTGCTTTCCTAGAAGTGTTTACTCACATTGTAAAGACTGTCCATTCTCCCTGCAATTAACACTAATGTTTTCTTAGCGGGAAGCGTCTTTTTTGGGTGGTGGTGGTGATTTATTTATTTATTTATTTCAATTTCTTAACCGCCCTTCCCCGCTTACGTAGGGCTCAGGGCGCTTTACAACGACATAAATTCGGTACAATTTTAAAACCAATTAAAACTACAAAAATTCAATATTAAAACATTCAGCCTAAATATTTAAGCACTTCAAAAACAAGATGGCATACCCAGCACTCAGATTTTCATAGGGGGGAGGGGAGAGGGAGGAGAGGATGTCGGATTGGCTTGGTTTGGGACGCTGAGGAGAGTTTGGCTGTCTGTTGCCGTTCGCCTAGCGCACCTACAGACCAGCCTACCAAGTCTACTGGAGTGGACAGTGAGCTGGGCTCTGGAGTTCCTGAGACTGATAGTTCTTGGGGACTTCAGTGTCCATGCCGCCACCGGCGATATATTTTTTTTCATATGTGTGTGCGCATGTGTGAGTGCGTGTGCACTTGGAAGTCGTGGTGACCTCTGGTGATTGACCCCTACTGGGGGGAGGCAGGAGGATCTTCAGAGAGGTGGCTGAATAAAGCCTGCCCCCGCCTCCCAACTGCTGGTATTCCTTGGAGGTCTCCCATCCAGGTACTTGCCAGCATCGACCCCGCTTAGCTTCCGAGATATGACAAGATTGGGCTTGCCTGGGCTATCCAGGTCAGGGCCCAGTGGGAAGCTTCTGAGGTGCGTTTGTCTGTCGCCCAGGAAGACTGTGAGGACTGTGACATTGTGACGATCATGAGCACGTATAGGACGATGCCAGTGATGCCAGGAACCCAACTCCACCCCCTCTGTACATGACTGCAACATCTTAATCAAAGTGTAGTTTGTTTTCTGATCGCCTGAACCAGCCGTTTCCAGCCTTTTTGATATTGTAACCCAGAAGTCCAAATTTGCTTGATATGGAGAACCATCCAGGGCTGGGGCAAGGTTTTTTGGTGCCCTGGGCGAATGATGACCTTGGCACACATCTAGTTCAAGAAGAAGAAGAGATTGGATTTATGCCCCACCCTTTACTTGGAGTCTCAGAGTGGCTTACAAACTCCTTTCCCTTCCCCTCCCCACAACAGACACCCTGTGAGGTAGGTGGGGCTGAGAGAGCTCTGACAGAACTGTCCTTGAGAGAACAGCTGTGCCAGAGCTATGGCTTGCCCAAGGTCATCTAGCAGTTGCAAGTGGAGGAGTGGGGAATCAAACCCGGTTCTCCCAGACTAGAGTCCGTGCACTTAACCACTACATCAAACATTCCAGATGTTTCTGAGAAACCAACAAACCTCTTGCAAAGGGCATGGTTTCCCTCATTATGAACTCCAAGCCAAGTGCAATTCCAGCATACACAGCCTTTGCATATGGGGGTTACAGCCCAGCCTCTGAGCATCCTCTCCTTCTCCGTCACTTCCTCTAGTCCCCCCATACAGTCTAAGAAACTCACTCAAATAAGGACACGTTTTTCTTGATCAACACACATGTGCAATAAAGGAAAAAAACCCATCAACTAAAGTACGACATGCAAGGGTCATTTCCTGCAGGAGTGCACAGGAGCAAAGCTCTGGCAGTAAAGAGCCCAGGGGGCGGGCGCATGCAATAAGCCCCCCCCCCCGCCCCTAGCAGCCCTCAGTCAGAGTAAGAAGCAGCCAGGTAAGTTGCAGAGCCCCCCGCACCCCCGGTCCAAGACAGTCCAGTGGCACCTTTAAGACCAAGTTTTATTCAGGGTGTGGCATATGCAAATACGTTATGCTAATGAGTTCTGCTAATGAGGTCCTGCACCTCTTTTTCTACTAAATGACCCCTGACGACATGTAATATGCTGTTTCCAAGGTTGGATCTCGGTTTCCAAAATACGAAAGAGAGCAGTGGAGAGGGCAGGGTGGCCATCGGGGCGGGCTGGCCTGCGACCCCCTTTCAGGTCCCAATGCAGAAGTTGGGAAACAGCGGTCTGAACTATTCCCACTGAAAACATTCAGGTGTGGGAGCTAGGGTTGCCAGCTCCGGGTTGGGGAATACCTGGATATTTAGGGGGCGGAGTCTGAGGAGGGCGGGGTTTGGGGAGGGGAGGGAGTTCAGTGGCTATAATGCCAAAGAGTCCGCCTTCCAAAGCAGCCATTTTTTCCAGGTGAACTGATCCCAGGAGACCTCCAGCCACTGCCTGGAGATTCCAAAAATATAAATTTCGCTAGGAAAAACACCATCAAAAATGGCCAAAATATATAAACTCTATTTAAAATATATAAACTCTGTTAAACAATTATAATCTCTTATTTCACAGTTTTAAAGCTGGTGGTGTCACAACATCAAAATAAGTGCATACTATAACTATAAATAAAACTATAAACAAGGCATATTGCTTAAATCTGACAGCCCTTAACCTGTGCTATCGTCTTAACACTGGTGTCGGAGCGTGTCTCATTCTTCGACTGACCAGATCTCCTTGTTGTCGCTCACTTTGACATTGTGATGCCTTGGGGGTTTTGCAGCTGAAAGGATGTTCTGGAACCTGATGCCCTTCACCACGCGTGACTTCTCCATCCGCTCCCTGGCAGACCGCCTCGGTGACCTTGCTTACCTCCAGTTCGTGTACCCTGAGCGTCCCAAGGAAGAAGTCTTTTCCAAATACTATACGCCGGTCCTTGGTGAGTCTCTAGTGCCAGGAGAACTTCATGGGCTTTTCCCAACTGCTGTCTGTTCTCACTGTCTTATCCAAGTGCATTTTGATTTCTGCAGACCTCCAGGAGAGGCGTTTGGGAGTCTGTGTCACTCCATCATCCCTGGAGTTCGCATGGTCTTAGTTGTACTGCTGTAAATGCAATGGCATTTCTTTCAGGACGCATTAAGAGTGTCGTAGCATTAAAACAATAAAAGGGACATGCATGTGATATGTGCATAATGGCTCATCTTGTGCCGTTTCCCCCATGTAAATAGACAAGTTACTACCAAACAGAAAAGCTTCTTTAAAATGAATAGGATCAAACCGGCCAGGAAGGTTTCAGGTGGGGCTTAATCTCGTCTCCATTTCAAACCAGGACAGCAGCGGACGGAATGACTGTGACCAAATTAATGGAACATGCAGACGTGTCCCGCTAGACAGTAGCAGGGGTCAGCTTTGTGCCAAAGGGTGAATCTTTCTCTCATTCCCTCTGCTCCTCTGCTCTCACACGTACCCAAATTAGATTCCCCCCCCTATATTTTCATATGAAGAGAAGAAGAAGAGATTGGATTTATACCCCCTGCCCTTCACTACCCGAAGGAGTCTCAGAGCGGCTTACAACCTCCTTTCCCTTCCCTTCCCCTCCCCACCACAGGCACCCTGTGAGGTAGGCGGGGCTGAGAGAGCTCTTGATAGAAACTGCTCTTTCTCATGGACAGCTCTTACCAGAACTATGGCTTGCATGTGGAGGAGTGGGGAATCAAACCCGGTCCTCCCAGATTAGAGTCAGCGCACTTAACCACTACACCTAACTGGCTCTCCTTCATATACTTTTGCCAGGCTTTTGGCTTTTTAAAAACTCTTTCCACAATTAACAGCTCTGTCCCCCCCACCCCCCACAGTTGCCTAAGAAGTGTATCCAGTGAAAGTTTTTTTAGATGCCTCATTTCAGGTGTTTTTGGAGAGGGGAGTTGTTTGCTTGTTTATAAACTCAAAACATAGATATCTCTATAAAACCTGGGGCAACTGGCAAAAAACATTCCCTATTCTTTGCAAAATTGTTAGAAATTATGGAAACTTCGCTTTCAAAACCTTCTGCTTCTACATCCTCAATTCCATTAAAGTATAAAGAAATCATAGCGATATTTTAAGCTATACAGTTACCCTGTCCATGTGTCAGTTCATGTATCAGTTTTGTGTTTAATAGTTTCAGTTAAAGTTTAATTAATCTGCATCTTTATAGATCAGTATTTGAAACAGGATTTCTACTAATAGAATGTCTCATAAAATGTACTTACCTTGTTGTAGAGATCTGTATTATTGAAGTTGATTTTCAATGAGATTTATATTTGTATGCAGTGTTATATGGAAAATTGATAAAATAAAATACTGGAAAAAAACATTGCTCTGAGCAGAGGGGAGTGGCTTCACGATTGCCACAGGGATCAGCCAATAGCATTCTGTCTGGTGGACTTGTGCTGAAAATCGAAAGGGTTGTTTTCTCCCTGGCTCGGTTCAGTTTGGATGCCTGTGCGTAAAGGGGTCGAGGGGGGACTTGCTGCTCAAGGTTTGTACATCTGTATGCGGACTAAGAGAAGCCGACTCCTTCAACCCTTCAGTGGTACCTGTGACTCTGGTGCAACAAAGCGCTTGCCCGGCCCTGCACGATCACGCTAAATGGGTAATTTCTTTTTTTGTCTGTCTCCTTGCTTACAGCAAAGGCCGTGGATGGATATGTGAAGCCACAAATCAAGCAAGTTGTGCCAGAGTGAGTGTCGTGGAAAGGGGAGGGAGTTCAGAAAAGGCGGGAGGCTATTAACGGTGGTTGGGGCAGGGAAGATGTTTTCCCGCATGGGCTGAAGAAAAAAATGGGCTGCACCCAGCAACGTGCCATAAGGACAAAATGGCAGGCAATGGTGGATTGATTTACTGTTGAACGCGTTTTGCCATGCAGGCTTCGTCTGGGGGAATCAGAGCATTCACCTAGTGCCGGAACTGTCGGAGGAGGAGGAGAAAAAGAAGAACTACTTAATTCCTGTGGACAGTTCCAGCACTAGGTGAATGCTCTGAGTCCCCCTGATGAAGCCTGCATGGCGAAACACGTAGAGACCTTGTACAACAATAAATCAATCTGTTGTCGAAGGCTTTCACGGCCGGAGTTCATTAGTTGTAGATTTTCCGGGCTGTATGGCCGTGGTCCTCTTAGCATTGTAGGACCTGACGTTTCGCTAGCAGCTGTGACTGGCATCCTCAGAGGTATAACACAGAAAGATGGAGTAATCTCTGTGTAAAGGTGAGAAGCCTAACTCAAACAGGACACAGTATCTTATTCCAAGACACTGAAAGGCTGGACAACACATCCAATTGCTATGTCAGATTACACACGGAAGCCATTGAAAATCATAAACACAATTTCAACAGGAAAGAGTTTAAAAATAAATAGGGCATGGTTTCCTGTCCTGAAAAACACAAAATGCTCTACCTCTCACAACAGCACTACAGATAAGATTAGAATTTCAACAGCCAATCCATATGCAAAAGAACCTCCTCAGGAAAGCTCCTCCATTAGCATGTCACAACCCAGTAAACTCCTACAAGATAATGACTCAGCCCTATTCCACGTTCCTGAGTAGATATAAATTACCTGCCTACCATTTTTCTTCTCACATAGACACAGAGAGTACTCCACCTTTCTATGTTATACCACTGAGGATGCCAGTCACAGCTGATGGCAAAACATCAGGTACTACATTGCCAAGACCACGGCCATACAGCCCGGAAAATCTACAACAACTAATAAATCAATCCCCGCTCTCTTACAAGTGGACTAAGCAAGAGGATGCAAGACCCCCTAACCCTCCTGACATGCCTCTCGCTCTGTTGCAGATTTCTCCCCACGACCGGGGATTCTTCAAGCGGAGGGACTGCCTACATGGATCAATCCCCGTCCCCGGGCGTCGGCTCCTCCTCCCACTACAACTTGTATCCACAGAAGTAAGTCAGGGAGGGATCGGCTTGGCTCTCTTTGCCTTGGCTGTGGGGGTCGGTCCGGCTTTATGACGGGGAGGAAATTAAGCCTGGACTCTCCCACACTAGTATCCCAGTAGCTTCTCCTTTCCTGCTCTGAAACGAACCTTTCGTTGTGCTCGTATTCCTTCCCAAATCTCTTAACCTTCAGCTCCCTGGGGTTTGAATTCGGAGCTCTCAGATTTCTGGCCTTCTGGTTCCGTAAATGGCCCGTGAGTTCCCAGGGCAAAGGGTCACAGGCGATCTGGCCCCTTCTGCCTCGCCGCCCCCCCCAACTTCCTTCTCCTTCACTTGTTACCTCTGCACAGCCTGGTGTGACCCCCGAAGCAAAAACAAAGCGGCCCTCGGGCTGTGCCATTTCTAGTGCTCCTCGATTTCCTTTAAAGCACCCTGCATGTAGAAAACTAGGATTCAGGGTGGGGTTGGGGGGCTTCCTGCTAGATTTCAGCTTGCAAGGCTTGTTTGTGCAAGGGGAAATGGAAAACGAATACTCCCCCCCCCCAGATTAGTCGGAAGTGGCACGCACTCCATTTGAGTTCCTCAGGATCTCATTCTTCTGAAAGCATAGATCCACCCTTCACCCTGTGTGCACAGTGACTTTCTAGAGCTCAGCCCTGTATTTCCGTACCCTCCCTGATCTTCCCCTCCAGCTAGTCTCGCAGAGGCTGCAATGCCATCCTCAGTACTTTCTCTGTCCTCAGTACTTCCCCGTCTCACAGCAGCTTTCCCATCTTTTGAGGTCTCCTGGTAGCGAGAGGAGATGGATTCTTTGATCCAGAAAGGCCTAGCAGCCTACCTCGACAGTTTAGACCAGTTTGAAACTGAGCTGTTAGCTAACTGAGCTGTCATAGTCCCGTTGTGCACTGCTTTGGTCAAGCCGCACCTGGATATTGTGTGCAGTTCTGAAGGCCTCACTTCAGAAAGGATGTGGACAGAATGGAGCAGGTGCAGAGGAGAGCGACAAGGATGATCGGGGGCCTGGAGACCAAGCCGTATGAGGAAACGCTGAGGGACTTGGGAATGTTCCGTCTGGAGAAGAGGAGGTTGAGGGGAGACGTGACGGCTCTCTTTAAGTATTTGAAAGGCTGTCACTTACAGGAGGGCAGGGAGCTGCTCCTGTTGGCAGCAGAGGAGAGGACTCACAAGAATGGGTCTAAATTAAGGGCGGGAAGGTACCGGCTGGATATTACGGGAAACTTTTTTACAGTAAGGGTTGTGTCAACAGTGGAATCAGCTACCTAAGGAGGTGGTGAGCTCCCCCTCACTGGCAGTCTTGAAGCAGCGGCTGGACAAACCCTTGTCAGGGATGTTCTGGGGGTTGGACGAGAGGGCCTGCATGGCCCCTTCCGACTCTGTGATTCTGTGTTACAGCTTCCTCCCACTAACCCTGCAAGCCACGAGGGTGCAGAGAACTTGTCAGGCGCGCCGTGGCCCCTTTCACAAACGGCTTTTGCTAGAGGTGAAGCGGCTTGTCTCCCCCGCCCGCCAACCGCAGACCAAACTGATTCACACCTCTCCTTTCCCTCCGTCTCCAGCCATGACTCCGTACTGGATACCGAAGGGGAATTCAACCTAGACGACTCGATGGACGTGGCGCGACACGTGGAGGAGCTTCTGAGGCGCCCCATGGATAGCCAGTGGATCTCACATGCGCAGTCATGACCCCTCCGCCCCTCCCCTGGAGAGACCATGCACAGACTGTGAAACACGGGGTGGGCGGGGCGCTTCTGACTGGGAGCCCGGCGGCAGCAGCAGCAGGGGCAGTGTTACCACACCCCACAGGGAGGAAGGCAGGCAGGCTCACCCTGCTCTGTCTGAGGGGGTGTCCGACGGGCAAGTGGGCGTCGTCTCTCCACTCGCCCATGTACAAAAAGCAGTGACGTGTATTGCTTGGTTTCCCCGTCTGCTCTTCTGAGGGGCCTTCCTCCCCTCGGGCCTTCTGCTTCAGCACACCACAAGCGACCGCCGAGCTGTTGTTTTTTGAGGTTAATTTGTGCTGAGGATCATTCCCTACCCTCCTCTTCCTCCAGTTTCAACACACTGCCGTACTTTACCCAGAAGCCTTTGGGGCCTTTCGTGGGCTGGGGAAAGAGGGCGCTGAGCTGTGGAGGAGACGTAGGCCTTATTTGAAGTTGTTTTTTTTTTTTGTGGTAAACTCTTTTCCTTGTGTCTGATGTCGTGTGTCCCGTCCCCCGTCCCCCCCACCGCCCCAGCTGCGCCCGGGATAAACGGTGTATGTTGCCCACATACGGCTTGTGTTTACCTTCGCTCAAGCACTTGTGTGACATATGCGAAAGGCACTGACTCTTTCGGAGACCTGCTTCTAGTCGGACACCTTAGACGCCTAAGCCTGGTCACCCCAGGGTCCTTTGGGCTGACCCCCATCCCCACCCCCACCCCACCTCCAGTGTCTCACTTTTTGCCTTGTTGCATAATAACCGCTGGCCTCTTCACTCCTGCCGCTAGCACCCCTGGCTATCTTTGTATCCAACTTTTTGCTCCCTAGGTAGCCCAGGTTCAACCAATTGAGAGTGGGGTGTTTTTTTCTTGTCTGTTTTTTGTTTTCCAAAAGACCCCAACAACATATAATACAAAAGCCGAGTGCAAAATTAAAATCAGAAATAATGGTTCTCTTAAGTGAGGTGGGGGATGGCTTCAGGAGCAAGTTCCAGGGTTCCCTTGCTGGGTTTAAACAGAAAGGGATGGATGCCCGGAGCACAGAAACAGAGACATGGGGACAAATCCTGCCTGTTCCGCTTGTCTTTGCCTTCTCTCTTTCCCACTTCCACCCCCTCTCTGGCCGGAGAAGAACTGCTCCCTCCAGGCATTATTTTTATACCTGCCAGTCAATAAAGTTCGGACTATTTTAACACAAAGCAGTGGGTTTCTCACATGTATACATGTATCTGTTCAGTGGGAATGATCTGTCCTTCCGTTCAACCAGCACTGTGTTTTGTAGGGTGGGGTGGGGGGCGGTCTGTAAACAGGTCCATGGCCAGCTGTTCTGCCACCAATCCTGCTGGGTTTTAACATTCGGATTTTCTTGCTCAAGTCCAGCAGGGTGGTTGTATGGGGAGGCTGAGAGGCAGTTCATGGATCTTACGCTCAGAGTACCGTTTGCACCTACGGCGATCTGATGGCGAAGCCGCACCTTCTTCAGAATCCAGAATTCTTGTCTGCAGAGCAGTGGAAGCCAAACAAGACAGACGATCCTACCTTAACATCTCTCTTCACGCCCACCTGTGCATGGCATCTCTGCAGCTTCACAGAGGGTGATGGTGTCACCATTGGCCCGGAAGACTGGGGATGCCAGCATGTAGACGGAGGGTCCCCCTTTCCCACACGCACAGGCGAGCCTGCATATGCAAGAATCAGGTCTCGGTTATGTCGTGCGTCAGCATACCTTTTGGGAGAGTGTTCTTCCGTAGCCGTTATTACGGAAGAGCCCGTCCGGAGTCCTCGGATGCCGGGGTCGTGCCTGCCCTTTGCCCTTCGAAACCTCTCCACGGAAGCATTAGTTCCCCAGTGTCTTTTTGCTCCTTGAATGAGACGCACAGACAGGTGAACGCTGCATCACCCACCCTCTGTGCTCAAGGAGCTCATCGGGGCAGGCATCCTGCTCCTGCAGAAATCATACTGGAGGCTACCGATACGTATATCTCTCTCCAGGGCAAATGCAACGCGTTTGTGCTCAGGTTGTACTGTGAAGCCAGCGTGGGCAGCATTGCGTTCATGATATTGGGGGGGGGGGCGGCATCCAAAAACCTCCAACAGACTCTGTTATTAACGGGTCTTTGCCCACGCTCTCTCCAAACAACAGCCATAGGCTCATCCCAGAGGGCACTCGCCTTCTGACAGAATCACTGATTTACCATCCATCACATCACCAGCCGCAACTGGGAAACAGCGATTCCTTCCCGTAGCTAGCCCTACTGCTTTAAACCTCTCTAGTGGAAGTTGTGGTGGGGTTAGTGTCGAACTGAGCCTGCAGCAGCTACAGAAGAGCTGTCCTTTCCCAGTTTTCCAGGGGCCAGGTTGAAAGACGAGCGGATCAAAGAGCAAGTTTCCCTGGATTCCTCTCCCTTAGCCCCCCCCCCCCC